ATGTAGATCGACGACGTCGCGCGTCGTCGCGCGAGTAATATTTTTGTCTTGGTGCAAAGCGATCAAAAAAATAATATAATAGAGCCAATGAACGATTAAAGTCACATTGTCAAATGATTATCGATCTCACCGCATGTTACCAATATCCGTTCCAATCGTCATAGCTATTTTCACTCGAATTCGTCAAGCTCCGTTCCAATACTCATCGACGTGGATTTGGAATTATTAATTTCGACGCGGCAAAGTTAGTGTTCGGCAAAGCGAGCAACATCTACCGAAGGAATGTTAACTTTGATAAGACCGTTCCGTTCGCAATAACGGCAAATCCAACGAACACGGATTAATGCGTGCGAATTCCATTCGGAGGATCCTTTAACACAGCACGACGACTGTTCTACGCGAAACAATTTCGGAGGGAGATTCGCTTAGATGGAACTGTGGCGATGCCTACACGCATGGTCACGATGATAGCTCGCGGGGAACGGGCGGGGAACGGGCGGGGAAGGAAGTCTCTGCCCGAACTATTTCAATTCGGCAAACAATTCCCGATATTAGTGGAATTACCGGAGATAGAGGCGCGTGTTCCCCGAAATACAGAACGACCCGCTACATCGGAGTTAGAATTATGCAGATTAAGCTCGTTCACGGTGTGTCCAAGTGCACGGAACCCCGACAAACGTCAAGCAGGCATGTTCTTCGCTACTCCGACGAGGAGAACCGCTTTCCCTGGGAACATTGAAATTTCTCAAAATTACCATTGCAATGCGACGCACTTTCAGTTTTCTCTTTGAAGAATTTCTTTCTGTAAAATTGAAATATTGGTAAATATTGTAGGTTGAGTTGGGTCTGGGTTAGATATTACAAAGGTGCGTGTTATCACCAGGCGGTTGATGGTATAATGATTCGACGCATCTACATACGTCGTACAGTATCGCGTCAACAAGCTCGAGAACGAGATGCGTGCCTGGAAGGAAATGGGGTAGCGTGAACAAAGTTAACGTACGTTCCCTCTGTCACATAGTTATCCCTACCAATTTACCGAGCATTTAACCGTGTCTCGGTTGCCCCCACCGTTTCTCAATGTCCTCCTCGACGTATTCAGAAGCGAGTGAATCCAAGATGGATAGGGTAAGGTGTATGCCACGTGGTCTGAACCGCGTGCTACGAGCTCTTTTCTCGAAAACCAATAAATTCTACATATATCGGGCTTCCTTTTGCTTTAAACGAACTGTTGGTTACCTGGTTAAAACAAGGTAAATGCTATCGGGGTTCTAATACGGTCGTAATGTCAGCCAGGGACTCTGGCTACGGCAAAGAAGGAAGATCGACGTAAGTATACCGTCTAAGATGGATTAGGATTCGAGTCATAGGCAACTGTTCGTTCGGTCTTCCTCTCAAAAACGATCCCGTGCCGATCTCAAAGCCGTAATGATTAATGGAGTTAGGGAGGTGCGCGTAGTTCCGTAATACCGTGGCAACTATCGAGTCGGAATTACAGTTGAGAAACTTCGGGGTGAGTTAGGGGGACCGGCGTCGTCTTGGTCTGGGGATTCCCGCCTCTACCCGTCTCCTTGGATCCGCAGCCATCCGACCACGTTCCAAACTCGATTTGATTTTGATTCGACGTACACTGGAAACGCATTTAATGCATGCGCTTACGTGCGAACTACGCGTGTATCGACTAAGAATGAACGTCGTCCGCGGATCATACCATCCTTGAGAGAAGAGGCTGTCCTCCGAACTGGATTCGTTAGCATTTCGAACGCTTTTGACTTTTGTTGCGCAATAAATTTGCTCGAATGAAAGTATTTGGTAAATTTCATGAGCCGCGTGTATCGATTACCTTATTTATCGAGTCCCTAATGGAAAATTGCAGCGGGAATGGAACTTTGATTGCGGATCGTCAACAGGTAACGTCGCGTTTCCTCGGAAATGGCGACAGCGAACTCTTAAGACGACGTAAAATTTAATCGCTCCGTTTCCGCGTCTGGAATCGCACGACGGAGAACAATGCGCGACATAAAGGGAAGTGCACAATGCGAGGCTCGTTATCTCGAACATTTAGCAACTCGCTAATTGAACGATGAAATCCTGTTTCGCTCCGAGCCTTGCCGACACGGTGGAGGAACGACGAGCGTTCTTTGCGGTCCGTTCGGTATCGCCAAAGGGAAAATGGCTTCGAGGAAAATCAAAACGATGAAAAGTCGAGCCATCGACCAAGAGCTACGCCGCGGAATTGTGTTTTCTCGTTGAAAAGACCGTGTCAAATTCTGGTGTCGATTTAATTCTGTCCCGCCGAGTCTTTGGAGTGGAACCGCTTTACCACTCGCCCAGAAGAAACTCGTTTTCTGCGACGTTCGCTTTAATTCGCCCTCGTTTCACCTGGCAATCAAGGCTGGCGAAATTTCAGGACGAGAAGAGAAGAGCGTCGCGTTGAAAACAAGGAAAATTTGTCGACCGAAGCGTGGACAAAGCGGCGAACCAGCATCGTTACTCTTATTAAGGAGAGGCATTCCCGTGTTTTCGTCTTCACCGAGCAGATTTCTATTTTCCGCTTAGCAACAAGAGACTTTCATCTATCGCGTCGAAAACGAACGAACAAACAGATCGAGCTAAGATAAATTTATTAGAAATAGTTTGCTTTGACTCTCCCGCTTGATATACAGAAATACTCTGTCCAAATAAACATTTGCATTTGATTCGCGTGTGTTTAAATCTGATTTAACGATAATCTTACCTCGGTATTCTCGGGTAATTTACGAGTTTTCCTCTACATCGTGTACTACCGCGCGCGCGTTGTGTACACTTTACTCGAGCGAGCTTCAAGTTTATTAACATTGTCTATCATGTCGTTACTTTTACTACGCAATTTTCTCGCAATTCATTCGCCGCACCTTTCTACGCATTCAAAATCGGTCTCGGCGCATAACACTGCTTCGCGATGAAACTTTTATAATAATAGCGATTTGTTCATGAATTATTTTATTACCGGTATTCTCGTCGACGACTTGTTGGTAAATTAATTCACTCACACGCGTCAAACGTTTATCTACAGACACGATAAGAAGAGATCGAAAGGATACAAACGATATTATATGTGCGAGACTCGAAGGAATGATTCCCGTATCGAATTTCTCGACACGCGTAGGGGGTTGTGGATGTGGAATCAGGGCAGGGCTCACTGGCGTAGGAGGATGAACTATGGCAAACGAAAGTCTTAAAACGATAGAACTTGCGAAATCAGATTCACGTTTATTCGGTGTGAACGAGTGAGCGACAGTACGACGACTGACTCGACACGTTTCAACTGAAAATCGGGAACACGGTAAACACCGGTAACCTTCGAGACGGCAGTTTACGCGATTTAACCGTCACGCGCGTCTCGTCCGTTGTTGTCTTCGTAACGGCAGCTCCGAAACAAGAAAAATACCATGTGTTCTATCTTTCATTTCTTGCTCTGTCTTATTTTTGCTGGTAAGCACCACGCCACATGGTCTTGATACAATTATCGTTTATTTTTATTACTTTCTGAGCGTGCGTATTCTTTAAAAGTTCTGGGAAATATCTTTCGGGTGTAATTTTTATTATTTTAAAATGTCAGAGAAAAAACAATTTAAGTTTTACGATTATATGTTCGACGATCGTTACACTATACATATATACTATGTACGTGTTTCTCGTTCGACTGTGTCGGTGAAACGTGTCGTTCATAATTTCTGTTATTCTACTTCTTTGTGCAAGCTTTCCTTTAATTCTCTAGCGAGCTGCGTTCTCGTTTCGAAAGAGGTAAAAGAGCCTGGCCACCGAGCATACGTTGAAAATACTCGAGGAATAAAGACCTCGGTTGCATATTGGATTAACGTCAGGTTGGAAGCCTGTGATGGACTTGATACTAAACGAGACAAGATCATAAATCATACAGTTTGTCGTCAACAGTTGAGTCTGCTTTGAAGATTAAAAGGATTATAACAATTACTTATTTTAACCGTAAAAGCTTTTGCTTTTCGTTGAGCGACACTTTCTCCTTGTTTTACTTTGTAGTTTTATCGCCTGAAATTTATAGTACTCCTATTCCGTTATTCCTGCCTCGCGAAGAGGAGTTTTAATCGGATGACAGTTGATTTATTTAGAACAAAATTGATCGTTCGTTCCCAAAACGATCCGGCATGTAATATTAATGACCGCGCGTTTCTTTTTTTGCGAATCAAAGGCAATCTCATAAAATGACCACGATCAGATGGTTAAATTATAGCGGCCGGCTGTGTTTGCAGCCGCCGCGCCGCGCCGCACCGCGTCGCTTCCGAATTCCGCCAATAACAGGCCGGTAATGGACGATCGGGCGTCCGTCTGAAATTGTTTTACAAATGAGTCTACTCAACCGGCAATAGATCAATTCGGTCGGCAATTTGCCGGCCACTTTTCAGCCTGTCGACAGTAAAAATACACGTAGCGCGATTTATGTATGTGTCGCGGATCGGTTTTGTTTCATCGTTGGCGGTGCCGCCGCACCGTTACAGAGGACGAATCATTGCGTCCGACGACAATTATTTTACCCGCGATCCGGCAGCAGTTCACTTAATTGACGGTTTGCGAGAAACTCCATTCTCCGTGCCGAACTTAACAGACCAAATTCGCTTCGAACAGAAACTCTCCTGACATTTCTAATTCCGTCCGCCGCAGAAGTTTAACTTGGAAGCACGACGGCCGAGTCGAGACAAGCACACAAGTCAAATATCGAGAATTTAATTTGTACGTTGCCGCGCTTTATTCTCGTCGATCGACGACATTTCGCGCCCCGGGTGGCTCGAGTCGTTGAACCCCCGCCAATTAATATTTCTTCCTCGGTATTTTATTATACAAAGTGAACGAAATATCTTGCAATAGGAAATAATTGGACTAAAAGTGTCTAACGTTTAAGAAGAGTTAAATGTTTCGCAACATTTATTATTACATTTAAATCGCTTTGCTCGTTAATGATAGAAAACGTAATTACGGGGACTAGCAACTAAATTAATGGTAAAAGCACTTATTCTAATTTCGGCGGATACGTTATTTTCTCGCATTTCTTGGGAGTCTTGCAGTAAGGTTTACATTTTCTCAATCGATCGACGAATACCTGACTGACGGTATGTGGTTCCTTGATGTGCTTGAAGACAGATTCGCAGCCGTGCACGTACTTATCGAACGGTATACTCCAAATCATTTCCCATCCAAAGTTTTCGCATATTTTTGCACAGTATCTACAGCCCGGAAAGACTCTGTATAATAATTGGTGTTGTTAAAATTATTTGTCTACGTCGGGGTCTGATTCACCTGCTGTTGCACTGTATTAAAAACAACGAGTAGCTGCAATCGCGCGCCAGGTACCAACTCTCCGCGATGAGCTTCTTAGCGATTCCCATTCCTCGGAAATCGCTGGACACGGCTACGCAGCTCTGCTCAAACACCTGCCACACGCAATAACGTTCCCAAACATTCACTTCCCTCACCACGTAGCTGTAAAACTCAATGATGCGTCTGATGGGTACGGGTTCGCAACTTTTCGCGAACTCGCACAGAGTTTTCCACTCCGATGGGATTATCACGGCGTTCAGGGCCGCCCCTATGATACAGTGATCCTGGTCCACGGCGATGATCGAAAGACCTGCTCGTACTTGCTCGTACATCAACTGCCGCCAGCACTCTGGCGCCTCCGTGCCTTTCATGCCGATATTATGAACTATGGGTTCACCCTTGTAATACTCCTCGCACATGAATTCCACCACGTTATCGTAATCGGGGGGCAAGGCCAAACGCGTCGTATAAACTGGACCGTCCTGGAAGGTCGCGAGAGATTTATATGTGGGCAAAACTGCCTAATGGAAGTTTGTTTGCGTTTTAACGGTGTCCTGTTTTCGATTCTCTATAATCGTGATCGATTGATTATCCAAACAGATGGACGTCGGTATGTGTGCTTTGGTACTGAAAATTCAGGGTAAAAGCAGAGCAAGAAAGTAGGGCTGAGCATACACTATCTCGTATACCGTCGATGACATAACAGAAATGTCAACGGTGTACATACACATAGTTGCAACTTGTTCGAGGTTATTTAAACGATGGACGTTCGTACTGATCTTAAATTCCACTTATTCTGTGGATTTTAATACGTATACGTAAAATTAAACTTACGGGACATTTCATTTCCAAATTTCTTCTCGCAAGATGAAAATTAGCCTTCCTATTTCCAATTTTATGATAACTCGCGGCATCCTTGAGACGTTTGACAATAGACGTCACGAACGATTTCAACAGAAACGTAGTCATTTCGTTTCGTCCCGCCACTTTTATCGATAAAATAACATTTTACGATTTATTTTCAGCTCGTTAAAAAATGTTTAAAACAGATATTCTTAGAGTTTCGCTCGTAATTCATATATTCTAGTTGGACATCCGAGTGAAGAGATTCACGCATCGTATCGACAATTCAATTACGATATTCGATTAATGCACAATCCCACGACGTTGCACTCTGTGATAAGTGTGTAGCGTCGACATCCCCCAGAGGATTCTTTTTCGTAACGCGTCCGCAGTTGTTGTGCTATTCATTGTAGCGGGGAATAAATTAATGTCCCCAAGTGTACATTAACAATAGTCAACGATGATACGTTACGTTGCATTAAAATCGCGATATCCGTCGCAAATTCATTAAACAACCGTTGCACGAACGTGCCGTACAATAACCACAAAGTAAATAGCGGCCGTAAATTATCATACACCGAAAGAATTAAAAATTGTATAATATCGATAATTTGAATGCCAATTGCTCTTTGATACCGTATTAATACGTTCACCGTACTCTGTATTTATTATTTATACACATAGCTCACACTCTATCGCGTATCGGCGAATTATTTAAAACTACGTTTCCCAAAGTGGCGGGCGCGATCGCTAGGTGTTGAAAACAATTTAAAATGTAAACAGGCGTGAATAACGTTTTTATATATTCTGAACCATTGAATGTACAATATTTATGGGATCCCCGTTACACTTTTTCGCTTCGTAATTTTGGTGTAGAAACGGTTTACAGAATTATTATTACTCGGAATACTTGCGCGAATACATGCTTGCGAGATCGTTGTTGCTCGTTGTAGAAGCTGTTGGATGCGTGAAAAAGCTCAAGACCCCGCGGGCTGCGGTGTATTCCGGAAGAGCAAGCGAAACGATAACTCAAACACGGCTCTATTCATTCATAGCTGTTGTACGAAATGATATGGCAGCTAGCAGACTAGCTGATTTATGTATTACTCGCGCCGCGTTTCACCGCCTCCGATATACGGGCACCAATACGCGCACGATCCACACGTTTACGCCCCATCTTTGTCTATACGAGTGCACGCTACCGTCTATGTACATCCATCGATACGGTGTGCGTACACGTACATGATTTCACATTATCCAGAAGCGCGAGTATATGTATATCGTAGATCACGTACACACACGTGGAATATCTGTGCTGAGAAAATCATACCCTCGCGCCTACATGCGTGTTCGACGGAGAAAGTGCAAAGGGGTTGGTAAAATACTCGGGAACGTCGAAACGGTGTAGAAAATAGTATTGGCAGCCGAGAAGATGACTTTTTAGAAACTACTTTTCTTACCGTTACAGTTTAGAATCCAATTTCGTTCTTACAAAAGTTCTCCTGGTATCGAATTTTGAAATTTTTACATCAGGTTCGTAGAACGTTTGACTTCTTACGAGTAAAGAAGATTCAAGAGAGCAAAAGTATAGTAACTATAAATATACGTGAAACGCAACTCCGAAATCTGTCGCATTCTAGAGCAGAATTTATGAATATCACCATAGTCTGGCGAAATAATTTATCCTGCTTCAAGAATCGGTGCATCGTAAATCTAAAAGATTTACCACTACATTCAATAAAACAGGATACGTATAGAACATAACTTTGACAGAGAATAGCATTCTACGATAAATCACGCAGAAGACTGAGACCACTCCCGTGCAGAATTTACGAACAACACTCGGCTATCGTAATCCATCCACCGTTGACAGGCAAAAGGCTTGTCGTTGCTCGATGTGAAAATTCTCATTTTCAGAAAAACGGGGCTACTGAGACGAGGATGGAATTTCTAGGTGAACAACGTACGCGTTGTTCGGAAGCCAGAATTTACGAGCAACGCCCGCGCATCGACGTCGCAGCATATGTTTAACGAGGGCATGGAAACGAGGCTCGCTGAAACGACGATGCGCGTGAATGGGATACAAGAGTTTTCAAATGGAACGTTTTAGACACCTCTGGGTCTTATTTTGAAATTCGAAATAGGACGGTCGGATGGCGGAGCATTCTCGTAATAGATGCGTACGTTAAAGGCGCTGCTGTATTTTAGAAACGATCGTGGAGCTTGTGGATAATCGCGAGTGGGCAAGGATAACGAGAACGCGAGGTGCAACACGCCGGTGGTTGCATCAATTACGGCCTTTTATTCTCGTTTCGTCCGATAGGAGGCCGAAAGATTGCAATTTATCGGCGCAACAATGCCCGGCATATTAATATCCATTAATCAGCCAGCCTTCGGTTGCTGACGCGCGAAACAAGGCAAGCGAATCATTGGGCACCGCGTGGGATCGAAACAAGGAAAGGGAACCGAACAATACGTCCTGATGAACTGCGGGGAAATATGAAAGTATATGTACATGTATATATTCTGGATCCCGGTTTCGCGTCGGATCGATGCCACTCGAAATGAGAAATCCCGAGCAGTCGATGGAAAAGTTGCCATAAAAAAGAAACGGACACGCAGTCGATAGAAAATAAAACTCGGAGGAGAATTGATTTCTCTTTGAGGTTGGAGTGCGTCTTGTTTCAGAGAGAGAAAAATTGTTGTTGCGAAGTTACAGCGTTACAAGGGCTGTTTTATACCTTGGTTTTCCAATTCTTGTATACGGGAACTATATTTTCTTCCGGTGTTTTTGTAATAAAAGAACGTCTCGTTCTTTTGCGTAGTAAGTCGAGGCAGACATCTTGAAAGAGATCTATCTCCACAGGGATAAATGCTTTCAACATATCGCGTAATCGAAGGGAATATCCACCTCGTATTTATTGCAATACGTATTAATTAGAATTAATATTATCATGATACACACATTGCACCTGGAACGCGACATAGAACCTACAAATTAATTATTAACAGTCTCGCTATTTGAATATTAATAGGCTGAATTATAGGCTATAATATTGACGCGTATTCGATCAAACGAGTAAATTACGAAAAAGTATGAATTTATTAAAAAACTAAATACGATCTACGGTTTTCTTCGTACGTTGTACATTAGATTTCTATCGGTAGAAGCTAGCAAGCGCGCTTTAGACGAAGCCAAACTTTGCACCCTCGTTTCAACCGGTATGTTTCACGAAACCCTGAAAGTTTTTAAAGAATTCGTCGTAACCACGACGAGCGTCGTGACCTTTGGATTCCTGCTCGGCCTGGGAGTTCTTCGTTGTTCCCTCCTTGTTGTCACCCTTCTTGAACGTACCCTCGACAGCAATGTGCTTTTCATTATAGCGACCGTGTTTCTTCGAGTGCCCGCCGTGATCGTCGTTATCGTAAAAATCGTGATCCTTCTTGTACTCATCTTTGTGATAAACATTACGAAAACCGGCGGCTTTACGGTTCACCTTATCGTCGTTATATCTCCCGTAGACTGCTCCTGCTTGCCCCCCAGCCTGTTCTACCTCGGACTTTGAATCGTTATCGCGTTCGGAATGAGTCTTCTTCTTTCCAGCAGCCTCGGTGTATCGAGTCTTCTTCTTCTCCTTGCGACGATCACCCTCCTGCCCTTTCTCGATGGTAACCACTCTCTTGGTTTGGTTTATGGTACCTCCGCTCCGATCAGACTTCTCCGATAGTTGAGTCGTGGGAGCAGCCTCGAGAATTTGCGTCTCCGCGTACCTCAATTCCATGTGATCGACTCCAGGAGGCTTGACGCTCGTATAATGAGCCGGTAGTATCTCAGCGTCTGGTTCCAAGGGCAACATAACGAACTTTTGGACGCGAGGCGACTTTATGGGGATCAGTTTCCTCTCGAAGACTGGCTCTGGAGGAAACTCCTCCCTGGATGTGACCCTGAAATCCCGTCTCGCGTCGATCTCTGGATCGTCGTCGTCGTCGTCGTCGTCGGAGACATCGGTTTGTATCGTCGAACGCACGTAAATGCAAAGAATCGCATAAACAACGTGCCACCCACCCCTCGAGATTCTCATTTTTTCTCTCCAGTATTCTCTCGTCTACTATGTTCTTTCATCCCACCTGAACGATGTGGCACAACTGTTACGGGCGGACTGGTTCGCGGAAACGCGTTCAGATGTACTGTAATCACGCTACCATAAGTCCACCACTTTTATATTGTCGCGACGGCCGCTCCAACGACTCGACGCGATCGCCTCTCGCCCAGAACTGCAAAATGCATTTGGAAGGGCAGACGGCGGGACGTGTCGACTAATTGTAAGTCTGATCGAACGATTCCATGGTGAAATTTTCGTGCCAGATCGACTGTGATCCAACACTCTGGCTTAATCTACCGTTCGATGATCCCTGGTTAAGCGGCCTTGAGGACAACGGCCGCTGAGGTTACGAAATCCTGGGTGGAGTTTGGAAATCTATCGGTTAGCGTTTTGTTCGTTCGTGCAAAGATAATGATTCTTTATTTTAGACACGTTCGTTGGAAATGTTTTTTTAAGAATCGAGATATTGTGATAAAACGCTTTTACTGTATTCTGCATCTTATCTTTGAAGTAAAATCGCACATTTCTGTATTAGCTGGGGAATGTTATGCAACTGTTGCACATTTGAATGTATCAATTGTGCATTTCTGTAGCGCAGACTTTCTACTTGGACCGACGGTTGCACAACATTAATTTCTTTCGATTTATCTACAAGTTCTCCCGCTATCTCTGTTGTAAATTAGCCTGTTGCCGTAAGGCCTCTACCACTAAGAGCCGAGTTCTTAAAACTCTCCATGAATCATGTTACGTCTATAGGGGTTAATAAATAATAATTGAAACGTCGACGTGATAATTTCGGCGTAAAACGAACCGTCTAAACGCAGTATGCAACCATTTGACAATGAGAAAATAATTTTCGAAAACCTCCGTAACCATCGAGCGGTGTGTCGGCCTTCTGGTTTACGCGTTACGCAAATCTCGGGTCCAGAGAACGTTGGGCAAGTAGAGCAATGCCGTCGATAACACGGCGTACTTGAATTATCGAGCTCGACCGTGGAATGCCAGGTTCCACTCTGCGATCCCTTATTCGCTGCCACGAATCACGTTCTCGTGTGTATATAAAGCAATGCCGGCGATTGACAGACCACACCAGCGTGGATTCCAGTTCAGCGACGAGAAATAACACGCAAGCTCGAGGATCGAGATTCCAGACTATAGAGCGGCATGATTTCGGCGATCGTGGTGTGGGGGTTGGTTCTGATTGGTCGGAACGACGGAGCAGCCCCGTCAGGGACGCAGACTATGACCAAGATGAGAGTCGCGGATCTCGAGAGGTCGGCCACTGGATACGTGTATAGCCAGCAACAGGGTATTCCGGTTTACTACATGCGATACACCAATCACGGAAGCGGACGCTACTATCATGCACCGGACACCGTGCACTACGTCGTCGACGCCGTTGCACCTGTTGCACACGTTGCTCCTGCAACGATGCCGCCGCTCCTGATCCCCTATGCGTCCTCTGTGGATGTTTCGCAAGCTGAGAAACAGACTCGCCAAGAGACTACCGATGATTACGGGGACCAACGATCGGTCCAGCACGCCGATGTGCCCGTCACTGAAAATATTCCTGCCAAAGAGCTCCTTCGTTTTCATCCTCGTACGGACGATGGAACGCGTAATGCATTCGAGGAAGAGCACGATGACAGCTACGATAGCGTCGAACAGGAGGATGAAATTCCCGAGCAAGGCGAGCAGAGCGAGCACGATGACAACGAAGAAATTCATGATGTAGATCATTCGACAAAGATGAACGTTGGTGGTAGTTACGATGGGTCCTCCGAAGCTGGAGACGGTGAGTACTCTCGGCACGGGGAGAAGGCTGCCAAGGGTTATAAAAAGCTCGAAGAATTTGAGAAAGGCGAACGTGGTATTGATAGTAACGAAAACCAGAAAGGTAAGTTTTATTAGAGGATAATGAAGGTATGAAGATTCGTACGACCTATGGAAAATTTTTAGGATACTATAGTAACAGCGGTGAACATGACGAGGGACACGTTGACGAGGCAGAAACGTATGGTTCCCACGAGGAAGCAGAGAATGACCAAGAAGGAAGTGATTATGGACGCTCGTCGTATCGTAACAAGGGACACAAAACCAACGGTTTTCACAATGTCTATTGCAAAGACGAGTACAAGAAGAAGACGGATTTCTACGACGATGATCATAAAAAGGGTTTCTCCGACAAGTACGAGAATTTCGAGAAGGATTACAAAGCAGACGAAGGTAATAGTAAGAAAGGTGGTCGTCGCTCTTCAGGAAACGATCGCCAGGATCGCGGCAAGAAAGGATACTACGTTAAAGGACATCGAGAGAGTCAGGATCAGGGTCACGCGAACGAAGAAGCTGAAAAATCGTATCGCGCGGATCGCGAGAATTACAGTGTCGATGAAAGTTCAAATTCGAACCAAGTACAAAAGTTTGAAAATGATTCCGGTCATCGTTGATAGCTGCTACGATCGATTTTGGTTCGATCTATCGGTCTGTTGTTATTTTATGTTTATTGTAACATATGCTGCTCATTAAAGAGGGACGCTGTAGCCAAGTTCTTCGAGTATATTTTCCTGTACCTTGTATTACATTTTCGTTTAGTATATTCACAAAATTCAGACTTAAAAATAGCCTCGGTGTAATTTTCAATATATTTATGTGTATTGTAGGGGTAAATTGAATCGACGTACTTAAAAGAAAAGAAAGTAGGATATTTTTGTTGGAGTAAGAACGGTTCTACGGCTCGATCGGATGAGGTAATCGTCCTGGAAAGTGTTACTGACCTACTTTTTTGTAGCGACAAGTATAACGTAGCATGTCCAGCTTAAAAAGCTGGAGGCATTCAACTATTGCGGAAACACAGTCGATCGACAAGTTACGTGTTGCTAAAATAAAGTTTTGAAATAGTCGCATTTAACGACGCACGATATACTATATTTCGAGTCTAGTTAAAAAAATATAGGAAATCTTTACTACGATCGATCGAAATGAATTCCAAATGTACGTTTATTTCGGTAAAATACAAAGATCAAGGGTCTTAATGGCCCTTCTTGAATCCCCAGGACTTGTGGTCGTCGTGTCCTCCCTTGTCGCCATGGTTGGAGTGATGATCATGATGCTCGTCGTGGCCACCCTCGCTCTTGTAGCCCTTGTGATCGTGATGATGATGCCCCTTCTCGTAATGTCCCTTCTTCCCGTAGTGATCCTCGTGATCGCCGTGATCGTGATGTCCTTTCTTGAAGTGTCCACCTTTCTTGTGACCGTGCTCGTGGTGGTGGCCGCCTTGGTCCTCGTGGTGGCCAGAGTCGTGGTGCTCGTCGAAGAATTCCTTGTCCTTCTTGAACTCGTCTAGCTTGTGAACTTCGTGATGTCCCTTGGTGTTGTGCCCTTTCCCGTAGTGGCCCTCCTCGTGGAATTTGTGTCCCTTCTCGCCCTTCTCGCCCTTGTGATGCTCGGAGTAGTAACCGTCGTCGTGATGATGGCTCTTCTTGTGGCCGTCGTCCTCCTCGTAGTGCCCGTGGTGTCCGTCTTTGTCGTGATGGCCCTTCTCCCCTTTCTCGTCGTGGTGGGACGATTTGTAGCCCTTGTCGCCTTTATCCCCGTGACTGTGATGATGGTCGGAATGGTGCTCGTCTCCGCCACCTTTCTCGTGATGATGATGGGAGGCGGCTGTCGCTAGGTCCTCGTACTCGTTACCGATCTCGCGGCCAGCCGTCAAACACTGACAGACGATGTACGCGGACAGCAAGCAGATCGCGAGGCGCGACATCGTGACGGTTGTACGCGAAATGGACCGGGTGGTACCGAAACGTTCGGCTCCGGCGCAGCTTTCGGTATGATTAATCCGGTCACCACGCTCGGATTATATATCGGACGGGGAATAATCGATATTAAGGAAGCAACGGCTCTTTTCTGGCCCGTTGACGCGACGTTGCGAAAGTAACGTCTCCTTAACCCGCTTAGTCAGTAATTCGTCGATTTCCGTTGATCGAAACCGTTGCGTAACACACGATCGAAATCGCCGGCTATATAACTGACACTGCTCTATCGGTCTGTAAACAATTGTCTCTTTCCACTTGGTTTTTGCACGATTGTGCGTCGTTTCGTGACGACTCGCGCGACTCGATGTCGAGATCTCGAGATGCAATCCGAGCATCGATTTCGGTAACTTGCTTTACATTAGCAACGTTTCAAATCGGATAGTTTGCTTGCTCGTTATACATTCAAAGTATTCGGCCGCTATGCAGGAGAAAATAGATAATATTCTATTTATCGACGCCAACACTTTCCCTGTCCATCGACCGCAAAATATATCAAACAGCTGTGCCTCTTTCATAGAATTTCTCGACACGGCTGATCTCTTCCAGCGCTCGTCGAACGTCATTACAATGTATTCTCATTAAAGTCTGTTTAATGCAATCCCGATCCGACGTCGTTTTATCGACAGAATCTCGTCGAACATCATTATGATGTATTTTCATTTAAGTCCATTTAGATCAATCCCGATCCGACGTTATTTTATCGATGAAATCTCGCCGAAGGAAATAGAAACTCCTGATAAAAATAAGGAACGTTAAGGTTTAATTAGGAACGAAAGCGAAAAACATGGTTGCGCAAACAGATTCGTTGAACGGTGAAAACGCTATTTCCATACTATGAACCACCAGTTTTGTTTTGTAATATACCTTGTACCGTACTCTGCCGGTTACAAATTGATTGACTTTTTATCAGGCGTCTGTCTTTGTACTTTCCACGTCTGGTACAAAGTAACATTAATAATTACACTAAGAAACGGGGTAACGATGAAATGTAGAAATTTCTAAACTTAAAACATCGCAAAATACTTGTCAGAACTATAAAATATATATATATATATATATATATATATCAGGCTGATACTTTGGCAGCATAAACATATACGAGAGAATTGATCGAAAATTGAATTTAAGAACATTTTCGTTCGAACCAAGTCAAGTTTTATTCGCATATATTGTTCGTGTGTAAGATTAAATGCGGTCGAAGCTGCGAATAACAGTTAGTATCGTATAAAATTGGTAGAATGCATTGAATGGGCAAAGAGAGGAATTTCTCTCGCATCGCGGACATCGTTCAGGGACAAAGTTTATAGCTCTGTGCAATGTGGGCTGCCAGATCGTTTGCTCGATGGCCGAAACGAACGTCACTGTTCTATCGGGAGCAACCTCCGCGGCGCGACGGCGACAAGGGATATGGGCCACAAGTCGGTGACGTTTACGAAATAAGGATTCCGTGCACTGGAAGGAACGAAAGCGATTACGTATAAAACGCCGGTATGACGGCCGGTATATAAGCTTTGCGTTAAAGCGACGTGATCAGTCGATAGCACTCGTTGGTCCACAAAAGGCACCAGTATGGCAAAAGGTTTCTGCCTGTGCATCGTTCTGGCCGTGATCTGCGCGTTTGTCTGCCAGTCGACGGCGAGAGATGCTAGGGAGAGGAGGGACCTCGTGATGGCTGGCAGTCATCACGGCCACCACCATGAGGAGGGTGGCGGGCACGATCACCATGGCCACCATCACGAGGAACACGGCGATAAGGCGGAAAAGGGCTACAAGGGCCATCATCATCACGACAAAGGCGATCACGGACATTACGGCAAGGATCACGACGAGGGCCATCACGAGGAACACGGCGGGCAGAAAAAGGGCCACCACGACGAACACGAGGAGCACGGAGATCATCACGAGCACGAGCACGGACACAAGGGCTCCAAGTTCGGGCACAAAAAGGGCCACAAGAAGGGCGAGAAGACTCACGGTTACCATCACAAGGCCCACAAAGACGAATATCACAAAGAGCACAAGTTCTACGACGACTACCATAAAGGTGGACACCACGAGAAACACGGGAATCATCATGGACATCACGAAAGCAAAGACGGCCATCACAAAAAGGGTGGACACCACCATTCCGGTCATCAAGAGGACCACCATGGAAAGAAAGGGCACTTCGATAAGGGACATTACGACGACGACCATAAGGGCTATCACGGAAAACACGGATACGACGAGCATCATTCGCATCACGACGATTATGGGAAAAAGAGCGAACATCATGGTGGCAAGATGCATGGGTTCTCGAGCGGCGGTGGCGGTGGCGGTGGGGGTGGCGGTGGGGATGGCGGCCACGGGCATCATGGTCGTTGAAAGATCCCGTGGATGTACTGATACTTTATTACTTTTGTTGCTTCATATCGTGTCGTTGATTAATTGTAGCCACTGCGATGAAATTTATCACGTACAAATAATTTTAATAATTAAAGTGTCATCGATAATAAAATATTGTCCTATCTTATGTAAACACCCCTCGATATACACGATTCTACATCGTAGAGTCCGTAAAAGTTTTAGAAGTTGGTTAAATTTTAAATATTATAACAATAAATTTGTACGTGCAACGTGTGGTACAAACAAAATTGATTACCGATTAAATGTGTTCCCTGTTTATTTGTTCGAAACTATTAATGCCCGATAAATAATGTAACAATTGTAGTCGGTACGATGAAATTGCAAAACCATTCGTGGAAATATCAATATTTTCTCGATAAATACGTTTAAAGCAGATAAAATATTCTATAATGAAATCATTTTATAAACGATGAAAGAGACAGAGAGATTTCGTGGCATCTTTATTACAATTTATATGCCACGAGGGGACCGTAAAGCACGCAACGCTGCTGGATACCAGAAATAAATTTTTAAAATAATTCCTAAAGAGATTAAATTTGAAAATTGTTGTCGTAGAAACGACAAGAATTATTGCATAATAATTTTTTAATGGAAATTTATTTCGCGTTTCCCTTCAATTTCCAAACGAGTTTATTTTACGATTTATTGTACATTGTTAGCGTGGTAAAATAATATAAATTGAACGTAAATCATCAAGATTGGTAGATCGTAATATAAAGGTTCCCACGCCATCGATTCCTCCCCGATCGTTTACCAGCTTACAAAAACTCCACAGTTCCGTTGCCGTAATAAGCTGTAAGAAGTATCCGTGGCAAATAATCTTAATACGACTGGTGTCGTCCAATCGAATTTATATAATTCTTTTCGGCGAAAAAGATCGGGGTGGCAAAACACTGTAATCCACGGTAACGCGTAGCAAATGTGTTCTCCGCCGCGATTTCGGCCAGAAATCGAACCTAACACGCCGTTCACAGACGTTCCCGATGCATTAGCAACGTTTTGCACGTTTTCCCCAACTATCACCGACGAGGCATAGAGGTGCCACAGGTGAAAGACATATAAAAGTTAGATCATGGCATATCCCTATCATATTGGCCGGGGCAGCTATTACGACGGTTGTAATATCCAGAGTTTGCCACTTGCCTCGTTAAACAGTCGAATAACTATTCCGGAAGATCGTTTGCGAACCAATTCCCCGCATTGGTTACATCGTGGCCACTGCGTAAATACTGCGAATACGTGTAACTGATACATAGGTAAATATAAAGATTGTACGTTTGCGTTTCCTGATAATCTCGAAAGTACAATCTCCACTTACTTGCACGGAATGGAGTGCACGATGATACGACTTTAATATAAATATATTAATTAAACGCGTAACTCGAACAATGAAAATTCTCAACTAAAATGAAACTCGAATGTAATTTAATAGAACAAATAATTAAATTGGTTCAATTTGTTATCGTATTCGAAACATATCCTATCATTGCACTTTCCATTTGATCGAAAGAAACGAATTTCACGAGGAAGGTTAAGAACCATTGAACCGGGGCACATTTACTCGCACGTTTACTCGAACATTTTCATTGTTTTCGTGTCCTCGATCTGACGACGAAGCGGGTCCCACATGTGACGATAGACACATGTGGTTACTTGACACATAAATCGTTATATGTATACTTTTCCAATCAGCAGGGCGAAATCACCGAAGCATAGATATACATTTGCACCCCCTTTGAAGGCGGGAACGCGGCCAGCGGAAAATTAAAGGAAACCGATATGTTTGTCGTACGTGGAGTACCAGCAGTCATGATACTCTTGGCGATTTTGGCGCCCGGCAGCTTCGCGATGAGTATAAATTACGAGGATCCGGAAACAGAGGCTGGCCTTCGTTCTCATCGTTACGAGGAGGGCGGCGGCGCCGATCGTCACTCCGGTCACGAAAATAAACACGGTGATAGCGCCGACGAGAGCTATAAAGATTACCAGGACGTCGAAGAAATTAGGAGAGATGATCACGATCTGAACAAAGACTATGAAGGATACGCCGTAAACGAGGCCGGGGGCGAGCACCGCAATTACGATGACGATTACTACGACGGGCATCGTGTGGACGAAAAGGACGAAGATGGTGAATCGTTTCACGAGGATGGTCACCATGGAAAGGGACATAGTACTAACGGTCACCACGAAACGAAGAAACTCGACGAGTTCGTGAAACGTAAAGAATTTCACGACAGTGATTATGAATCTGACTTTGACGAGCAAGAGGACGGAAAAGAAGACGATTTTGCGCACGGAAATGATGGACACCATAAAGGAGAAGAGTATATTCACGATGACCACGATGGAGATTATGGAAAGAAGAATTATTATAAAAAGGGACACGATATTAGCGATTATATGGAATACGGTAACGAGAACGATCCTGAGGATTATTATTACAACGATTATCGTTATGGGAAATCTGATGAATACGATGATAAGAAGAAGTGGGGGTATAAGATGGATCGTTAGTTGCTATTTATAATAGCATATTTGTTTACACATATAGATTTTCGTTGTAACGCGTAATGTTCCTATTTAGTTAAAAATTTATTTATGCACTGTTAAGAGATGTGGTTACTTTTGCACGAATTTTCCCAGCAATAAAATTATAGTTGCATAAAATATATTACACAGGGAGGTTTTGAAAATTCTGCAAAGTATAAACTGATATTTACCGTGGAATCAAAACCTAAATGCGATCGAATAATTGATACAATGAAAACACTTGCGGACCAGAAATGCAGTAAAATATTAAATTATTCGATAATGCAGTCTTTACATTCCACTCTTCTCGCCATTAAGCTCCCGCGTGAATTATTATTATGATCGAAAATGGATTTTAATACGCCAGAAATTCCGCGTAAACCGCAGCTTGAAATCATATTGCTTGCCTAGTATAAATTCCTTTACTTATTAATGAATTCTCTTATCACATTTGCTCGCCAAGTATTCGATATTAATCACGTCGCTAAATGAAACGTGTCCTGAAAATCATTTATTATCTGTAAACCATCGATCCACGGGTTCATCTAATATACACAGGTATTGAAACGACCTAAATTTTAATTATTTTTTGTTGCACAGAAGAGGGAAAACGATATTATGACGTAATTATACGCGTATATAACAAATAAAATTGCTAAAAGCCGAGAAATTTTCAGTTTTGAAAGAGGACAAAGGGGGCAGGATAATGAATGAATATGAGGAATAAAAATGTAATTGTAAGGAATCGGTTAAAAGTTGTTCAGAAGAGGATCGGTGAGGTCGGAGAGCCACTGACTCGGTACGGAATTGCTCGAATATCATCAATATGTATCGTATCAGTGTGCCGTCGCTAGAGACGTAGCGAAGACCAGCAGCGCGGTTCGAACTCGTTGGGACGCGGCTCAGGCAGGTTTGATTAACGATTCCATCCCCGGCAAATGAAATTGCCGTGGCCATTTGTGGCTCTATCTAGAGACTGGATTCCGGTGCACCGGACACGGATTAACGGAGCTTTATACGCTTCTTTCAGGGCGGGTTGGATGGGGTATGTTGCAGCCGGCCGCGATCACGGTTACCCATTCTCGGCCGGAGATTGTGTACAAGCGAGCGGATCTACTTGAAATTCTCTGGCGTGTGACAATTCCGTCCCGGCCCTCGCCGAAACACCGTGGGGCCATTGTTCCATTCCGTGATGCACGTACGCGTGGCTGGCTTAATTAATCTAATTGGAGTGGTCGCGCGACTGGCAAAAGAAAAGAAGGAACTCGACGCGACGCGTCGTGCCGCGCCTCACCGTACCCAGTGCCGGAGTGCCGGAGGAAGCATACACGTGCAGAACGGCGTGTTAAAAGGGTGCCACGAGCATCCAGGCCCGCTCGCACCTTGGATCGATCGTGCAATAATCCTGTCGTTCGGCCAAATTAATGAGAATACTCGAGCCATCGATGCGCGCGTCTCGAGACCGACGGCGCGGCGTGATACGAACAACGGGGAAAATTAATAGAAACCTGTGTTTTGGACCGAGAACGAGCGCTCCTCGATGGAGTTGGGATTCTCATTGTGCTTCGTTTCTTTCAGCAAAATACAATATTAATTATTTGTCGATCAGAGTGCGGCTGGATTCGCGGATGATGGATCCCATGCTCGTCGGAGTTGGTCCAATTATCGCGATTTCAACACGAAATAGATTCACCAAAAGTATACTTATACGAGTATACATGTGTACATATCGTATACTCGACTGTTTCAAAATTGTTGTCATCGATGTAATCACAGAAAAATCTCCAAGATATTTTATAAATTATTCTTTATTTCCCCAAAAAAAAATATTGTCGTGATAACGAACGCGTGACAACGTATCATTGTCAACTTGGACGCCTGTTCTTCCGTCTCGCAGAATCGGGGAAACCTTTTTGTTAGCGGACCGGAAACAAGGAAAGTGCTCTACGCTTCTTTGGATAAATTCGATCGTCTTTGATTAAAGGCTTTCTTGTCCACTTAACCGACTGCGACCGGTCCGTGGGATTGATCAGTTGTACATCGGTAATTTATCTTCTTCTTCGACTAACGAAGATGCTGCAGCGCCGCGATTGCTTCATTTAATTTAAACCGTTCGACATCGATTTCCTCTTCTTACAAGGATTTCCTTAAAAAACTTAAAACTTGTTTGCTACTGCGTGAGTATCGATCGAATCGATTTAATCGCTAGAGACGACAGATGCAGCTTACAGAAGTTTCAACGATCCCTTTTTCACCTTCGAATGCTGTGACAAGTATTCGCTGATACAAGAACGCTACACTCTCGGTAATTAATGTACGATCTTATTAATTTCTGGATCTCTGTGACGAAAAAATTTTAATCGATGTCCGGTTGGAAATAGCTGGTCTGGACTGAAAGCTTGTCTAAATCCAGAAACGGAACCTGTATAATCGGTCGTGTTCCGTTCCATCTCATAAGAATTAAACCTTAATGTTTCCGTTTGAGACGCGGCAGCGTTCTCTAGACACATTAAATTAGCCATTTCCGTGCCCAAACCAGTCTGACTTATTAATTCTCTGGATATCGCGAGAATGTCGCGACTGGATAATTCGCTGAGGTGTGCTCGAGACGAGCGAGCGTTTCACGATACCCGGTAACCAGTCTTGTTTTAATGAAATCGAGTCGCGAACGAAGCTGCTAATAGAGTTTACACCGGCACACAAGTTGAAGGTAACGAGAACTTGGTATGCGAGCCAGGGGCAATGGGAAGCGTTTAAATTAAAGGGAACGTGTAAATTCCGGCTGTGACGGACGAAAAGGCGCGTCGGGAATACGAAAATATGTATAGCACGCGAGATGTATGTACGTTTCAACGTTCTGTCGCGGACGAAAATTCAAAATGAAGCTGGAAAATTCGTCGACGACAGTGCACGTCAGGATGTTTTTTTTTAGCGCGAAACACGCGCGCTAATGCGTTACATTCTAATTTTATCTCTGCTACCGACGGTTGTTTCGTTAAATGTTTTTACATCCACTTTCTTCTGTTTCGAAGGAGACATTTTTCGGTGGACGTAACTTTGTTCCAGGTACAATCGCTTTCAGTATTTAAAAACGTTCATTTTTGTTGGAAAAGAAAAGTTGCTTTCAACGCGTAACGAAAATGAGTAAACGCTGTCTAATTTTTAGACTCGAAGGTTTCTTCTGTACGTCTGTCTCGTGTTTTATATCAATTTTTTGCTCAAAATATCACCTTTTCTACCGATCTCACGTTATCGCGGGGCTCGGGTGGAGGAGCACCCTGTATACTTTCACAATCTGTCACATTCTTTTCCGTTAAAACAAACGAAACCTTTATTCCAGCTCAATCATCTCTGAAAATACCTGGCGAGACCTTCGATTCCTTTCGAAAACTTTTCGTCACACGGACGAGAACGGTATATCAAATCATCTCTTCTTCTCGCCTATCCTATACTTTCACGTTCTGTCACTTTTTCCTGTTAAAATAAACTAAACCCTTATTCCAGCTCAATCATCCCTGAAAATGCTTGGCGTAACCTTCGATCCCCCATGGAATTTCTCGTCCCATGGGACGATCAAATTCCAAACAGCTCGTTTCCGTCGAAAACTTTGATATCCTCCAAGACACAGTGTTTCTCAAAGTGCCTTCAGCAGGCTCCTAAGGATCCGCGAAAGGTGAAGATCCACCAGCTCTCATTATACGTATATTCTTTTCATTGATAATCTAATTCTATTTTAGGAGCTACGTTAAATGTTTTCCTTCATCGAGAGAGTCGGTAGACGAACCAAGTTTTAGAAACACTGTTCCAACTAACATTCTCTACTGTCGCCAAAATCTGTACTTACGCCAACTACTTATGCTCTCTGCGCGTAACTATGATACTCTGTCTACCACTCTGCTTAACTAAAACTGTTTCGCCTAGCGTGCAGCACGTTCAGGCTGCGTATCTTCTGTCCTCTTTTTCAGCCAGTAAATATGACCACATCGTCCCACTTCTCAATGAATCCGGCTGACTCAACGTGACACAAAAGTGGATCGTACGCTTCTCTTGTCTAGTATAGTATAAAGTCCTTCGCTCCGCCACACCTACATACGTACATACGTAGTATGTATCTATGCTTGAGCTCTGAATTTCATGCCACCAGCTCCTGCAGCACGCGACCCAAATCCCTTCTGTCCATTCTTATCATTCACTCTGGCACATTTTCTGGTTCCTTCTCGTATACCGCAACATGATATTTCAATCTCTTACCTCCTCGTATTCGCAAACTCTCTACTAATCTTTCCTTAAAATCTCCATCTATATGTAACGAGCTTGGATCGAGATCGGTTCGAGTAGCTGAATCTATGCAAACTGGATACGCAATAACAACGAACCATTTAATTCGCAATTATTCTGATCCCGTCAGGACCAACTAAACGGATTAATTTTTCACTGAAAATACTGTATAAATTTGATGAAATTTTCGCTACCGTTTGACCCGCGACGGCATCAAATTAAATTTCACAAACCGGACACCGTGAAATGCTTTACAATGGGAAAACATTCATTGCGTGACGCGAAAACAGGCACCCGATGTATCGGAATGTTCTCTCATAAATAGTAAAATTGTTCGGATTACATCGCGAACCGGCGTGTCCACGTCCATTCGATTAAAAGCGAACTCGCGGAATTCGTGTGAGGTTCTTTTTATTATTTTTTTTTTCGTTTTTTTCTTTTTACACTCGATTGCTCATCCAATTTCGATGAACGCGTTGTTTTTCGTTCTGGTCATTATGTGGACGCGGCGTCGAGCAAATGCGAGTACGTGTTCTCGACGCGTTCCAGCCGCTATCCGGTGTAAATAAAGCCCTTGAAGGTGTGGGATTATACGGCAGACAGACAGGCGGATAGGTAAACAGAAAGAAACGCGATGGAAACGCTCGTGTAAACGGTAGAGCTATTAATAAGCGCGTGGATCAAGGAAAATTGATAAACTGACAGGTTGCGCGCGTCGATTGCGGAAGATACTCGCGCGAAAGCCTCACGGGGGTGTTGTCACGTTCATTAACAATTTACTCGGTACCCGATGCAACTGAAATGAAAAATTACTCCGCGCAATATTATACGATTTCTATTAATTATCAAATTTTATTCTGTATCAAGGTACCACGCGCATACGATACTCGGACGTCATTGTTACACATCGGATACGCACCGCGAACAGGTGCAGTTTGCGCAAACGACACGTAGACGCGAATTTCAAGCCGTATGTAGGAAGTACGTATCGTTCGTGTTATAATGGAATAACATAATTATTAGCAGTCCTTCCATGAAAATACGCCGAGCATGTGTTATTTATCTGCAAATTGAACCGCGTTAAATCGCAATACGCGTTTCCATCGAACAGCGCATTAATATCCGAAAATCAATTGAATCGGCGACGCGACCGATTAAACTCTATCACTGGCGTATTACTGACTTTCTCGGTACGTGATTAAAATCAGTTATGTATGCGCATTCGCTATAGACGAGAACAACGTTTTCAAGGAGCAATTCGTTTATCGCGTAAAAATATTTTCGAAACAATTTGGGCGAAAGTTTGTTTGTTCGCAAAAACTAGACGTATTACTAAACGATTTAAAAAAATGTGGTTTAAACGACAAAGTATCCGACTCGCGACAGAAATTGTTGGCATTTTTAAACGCCGTTGACGTTTAAAACAATTCCACGTAAAGAGTATTGCCGCGCGTTCCTGTTTAATTCGAGGCAGGCAAAAGTATTGTATTTCATTGCGAGTGAAAAAGTAAAGAGTGAAAGGTAACTTGTTGCATTGAAAACTCGATAAAAAGTAACAGCATGCTTAGCGTTGACTAATGTGGACATTATGAGACAAGTACGAGCCGCGGAGAAACTTATTTGCCCAGCCGCAAGAAAGGTGAAAAGAGAGCGAGACGAGACGGTGTATAGTTTTTCTCGCAAGCACCTATACGTACGCGTGCGTTTACATAATGTATTTACACAATGCCGGGCATAATATATGTATCGGTCCGACGATGCATTACTTCGCCTTCGTTTTGTGAAATATTCGGGGCGCTGAACGCGATCGTGTGTAAATTATAACGTAAGAATGCACGTATAACAATAAGGATACTCGCGAAACATTTCAAATTCATCAGTTTCTTTTTACAAAATTATCAATTTATTACTTCCTCGTAGCGGAATAACAATATTGTCGTTCGATAAACGAATCGTTGTTACCACGCGCAGACTCGCGTCATTTGCAATATAACAAACTTGTACTCGATACTCGGTTAAAAGTAATTCTAACAGCTCTAAAGTGAAAATAACATTGGACCGTCTTGAGAAAGAAGATCCATCTGGCGCAGTACTTGATCAGTCTTGAACGCTTCCTCTCAGCCTTTGTGCCCCTTGCCGTACCCAAACTTCTTCCCAGATTGTTGGTCACCCTTCTTCCCGTAAGAATCATGATGGCTATAATGATCGTCGTGACCGTGCTTGCCATGATGACCCTTATGCTGTTCGTCAACGTGGCCCTTATCGTGGTGTCCCTTCTTGCCCTGATGGTCCTCGTGATAACCGGAATGTTGATGACCGCCCTTCTTGTGTTCACCCTCCTTCTTCTCGTGGTGCCCGTGGAAGTCCCCGTGCTTCTTATGGTGGCCTCCTTTATGGTAGTCGTCGTAGAACTTGTGCTCCTTGTGATACTCGTCCTTGTGGAACTTGTTGTGATAGCCCTTGGTTTTGTGCCCCTTCTTGTGCCCCTTCTTCTCCCCGAATTTCCCGCCCTTGTGTCCCTTCTCGCCTTCGTGATGCTCCCCGTACTTCTCGTGCTCGTCGTGATGACCTTTCTTGTGACCTCCATGCTCCTCGTGGTGGCCGGAGTGGTGTTCTTTATCGTGTTCACCCTTGTCGTTCTTATCGTGATGATGATGACTCTTGTATCCTTTGTCTCCTTTCGCGGCGTGCTCCTCGTGATGATCCGCCCGATGACTCTGACCGCCCCCCGACTCGTGATGATGACCCTGATGACCCGTAGCTGCCGGCGCCAGGTCGCTCTCCGAATCTTGATCGCTCGAATTCTGAACGGTCGTCGTCGAATCCTCCGGCGCGTTGTCCTCCGTCATTTCGCCATCGCGACGAACGCGTAAAACGCTCGGTTCCCGCGCGTGACACGCTTGCAACACCAGCAAACACGAGACGACGCCGATAGGGGAGAGGACTCGTCGCAGCATCTCGATCTGGTTTCGATGCGATCATCGGACTGATGACCGACGCCGCTACGGGTGATACTTAAATATCCACGGTTCGATTGTTTCGTCACGGGGAGTTTGATCCTTTCCGCCGACTCCACTTTCATCCGCGCGACCGCGTCGCGTCGCGTCGCGTCGCGTCGCGTCACGTCGCATCGCGTCGACTCGATAAGCCAACTCAGGCGGGGCGGACCTTTCACACTTTCTCGTTCTTATAATAAAACGGTATTTCTGACGCGGAGAATTTAAGGAAACGCTCGAATCTGGTTGAGCAACGAATGGCTCAGGCAAATATCGGTATTCACGTCGATCGAAATGCGTTTGCTTCTAAACGAGTCAAACAAATTACAAAGGTAGTTTAGTATTCCACAAATTTCATGAGATTTTACGTGTGCTGGTTCGATAATGTTCCTCGTAAAAAGGGTGTCACGAGCCAGCGAAAGTTGAGAATCCCTAGAGCGTAGAAGGGAGCTTATAACAATTGTCATGGAAGCATTAAAAATGACAAATAGAAATACGAACGTCTGTCAAGTGAGAATAAGAGAAGACAGTTACAGGGGATCAGGAAGCAGTAGGAATCTTGATGCATAACCGAGCTGGATGAGAAAGTTTAAGTCCGCGTTGGCTACGCATCGATTCGTCGAAGCAAGAAATAATACGATTAGATTCTACTATGTAAAATTTTCTATAGAACAATCACGCACGCTTGTTTGTCTTTATTAGTTACGCCTGTCCATATTTTTTCTTCGACCGACGTATTAGCGCATACTGATTGCTTTTTTAATCCACGGTGAGACGAATTGACTGAACAGTGCATGCCTGATCAATAAATTACCTTGTCTTCCTGGTAGTGTACAATCACAATTGTTATTGCGATGTATGTTATTTGTACAGGAAAGAGACGAAGCATTTTAATGATTATATTTCGCAATATACAATTTAACGAGTTGTTTGTTACATTATTTATTTATGACGTTTGACGAACGTTGAAGAAAATTTGACATGTTTCGCAGCTTATTTTTAAAGAGTTGGTCCATTTTCTAATTGCATCGTGCACTGGATAAAAAAATTAAATACAGGAATATAGCTCGGATCAAGCAACGTAACAGTTTTCTTTAATTACAGCCCTTCCAAGTTTTTAGAATCGTTCGGTACACGAACTTTCTAAAATGAAATCGCTGAAACTCTATTATAGTGTCAAGAAACAGTACTTTATATTTTTGCCAATCAGTGCATGACTGTGACAAACGTTTCTAAAATTGGAATTGTGGACTGTGCAACGATTTATAAGTTTTTCAATGTATCGGATCAGCCTTTTGACAGCCTTTAGCTAAGCCGAGCATATCTGATTATTTATAAACACCATTTATATTTAGTTCTCCGGTGAACCTGCACAGCATAATAGTGGGAATCGAATCATCGATAAACTGTTCAATATCGAAGCTAATCTTATTACCGATGACATAAATTTCTCCCATCTTCCCCTAGACTCGTAAATGCCGCGACATTTACAACGCCATATTCCGGAAGTAATTTATTTTTTATTTTACAACTTTGCAAAATCTTGGGGCTATTCGATATCTTTATGATATTAGTTTTGGAACTGTGTGTATAGCAGCGATTAGCTCGAAAATATGAACGTCTTAAATGCAAATTGTTTTACTGAAAACTGTTGTGGAACCTCCTATAAGTATTCTTCAAACTATAAAGTGCTTCTTTATCGTGATAATGATACTAATAATAATATGTATATAAAAGTAATTAGAATAGCAATCAATTAATTTTGTTCACGTCTTTTAACATCATTTTTATTCTTCGATATTCATGTTATTCGGGACAAGCAGTGCCGACGGTATCAGAAGGCCCTTCGGATCGATTGTCCTCGACAGTTGTAAAGTAAGAAAATTTGTACCCACGGATAACAAGAAAGATCTGCTCCAATCTGTTAATTGACGAACGGGAAATTATTCGACACCACGCTGGCTAACGATTCGAGCGAGTCCAGTTCTTTACGGACGTTGCTCGTTCGCGTTCATTAAGAACTTCCCACAAAGTATCTGGAAATAACCAGACGATGTAGGGCTGGGCATTCGTGAACCCGATACAAAATCGACCTTTCTTTCGAGCTACTTATTCCGCGGGGCGCATCGTCGTCCTCGAATCTCCATTGCAAATCAGGAGGACCGAATTCGCAGTTTGAAACGGTGATCGATAGATTCGGGCTCTTTACGACCTTATTTGGCAGGCTGTTCGGCTAGAGATTGGCTCCTCCGGCGTTGGCGCTGCATAATCAAGATAAAGATTGGTTACTGCACAGCGTTCCATCGAGCTCCTTTAGACAGGGAGAAAACCGGATACCGGAGGCTCTGCCAACTTCGATTTGGACTCGGCATCGTCGTAACGGAGATTAGATTAGGTGCCGTTCCCTTTGGACCTTCCAGATGGAGAGATTGCTTTGTAAGCAGATCGAAGGACGCTAGCGGTTCGCAACCGTTGAGAAGTATCCATCCCTTCGTTTGGAAAAGAAGAGGCCACCGGCTATTAAATTAGGCCCTCAACTGTTCCTTGTAACTCGAAAACATTTCCACCAAGTGCTACCGGTCGCGCGCTGCCAATTTCTCTTTTATCACCCAATGAAACACGATTTTATTTACTGCTAGCTGTTAACCGTGGCTTCGCCAGCGTCCAAGTAATTTCTACCGACATCTCTTTTTTTTTCGTTTTTTCTTTATACCCTTTTTTTTTAATTCGATTCTTCGCTTGCCCACGTTGGCCGGAGGAGCGATAGTAAAATAGCTTTCAATTATCTCTCGAAAAATGGAGTACCGTGTAAAAAGATACCATTCGACGTTTTCCACTTATTTTTCACGTAAAATCATCCCTTACCCTGTCGCCCCACTCTGTGCTCGGTTCGACACGTTTTGAATTAATCAGGAACGAGCAATCCAATAAACAAACGAACAGAGAGACGATAATTCGAAAATTGTGCGACACTGTTTACATCTCCTATAAACTATACGTTTATGCCGGAATCGATTAAAAATGTTACAATTTCAAAAAGTTTTAAAGTCACGCGTAACAAAGATTACAAACGCTTCTCTCTCCTCGTAAATAGAATTGACTAACTGGTTAATGTCGGAGGAGAATCAATCGAAAAAGTTGGACGAATTCCGTGCAATGGTCGCGCAAACCATAAGTCTACCGCGAATCAGACAAGAGGCCTCGATGACAGCTGAATCATCCTTTGTCACGCGTGGCGTTTAACAATAATTATCCCGAGCAATTAACGAACCGATTCCCTGTCCGTGGGCGTCACGAAAGTTTCCTCGTTATAAATAATTGCAAAATTTACCGGTACGAATTCTGGCGTTTGGGCGTCAAGCGTTGCACGCTGCCACAACTAGTCTGATGCGATGGTCGCGTGACTGAGCGTACTTTTTAACAAACACCAGCGAGTTCTTCGTAGGTCGACCAAGCCCACGCTAACGACGTCCCAGGGCTCTATACTCAACGTTCAATTATGCTAACGGAATTTTAACCCCGTATTTATTGAAAGAAATACGCACGAGTATGTATACAAAATTTGAAATCGATAGGTTCGATACTTTTTAAGAGTACTAAAATACCCTTAGACGCGTGCAGTTTCGAAACTACTCATGTTATCTGCATAACCGAGCGATCGTTGGAAGCGGTAAACCTTCCCCTTTAAAATGGCTTTTGGTTTTTGTCGATCGGACTTTCCGTTTCCGAGATATCGTAATTTATGTAAAGGGGTAATTTTTCTTAATTCGACTATCTCTGTCTCCGTCTGACGCGTCGCGCCGGACCTCTCTTTCTCGCACGTGACTCGCGAGCGAGTGGCCCAGTGACCTAGTTTCGACGAGCACGTGCCGGTCAACGACCTTGACAAGGCCGTAGTAAGAAAGTAAACAAACGCTACGGACCCTTATGCATGCATACATATGTATATCCGAAACTAACCACCGCATCGACGCGAAACTAAAATCGCTATATCTCCGGAACTAATAAAGCTATCGACTCGTACAAACGCTCATTTTAAAGGGCATTTCATCCCCTATCTAACGAGCATATAAACTATTATAATTTATGTTGCCTTCTATGTTTATTTTCACATTTACTTTAACGCTACATACCCAAAGAAGTTTCACATAGATTTCTCAAAAAGTTTACATGATAATCATTTATTTTTAATGCTTCCCTCACAGTTAGAGCACGTTTCACATCGACTTCACTCATCGTTTTGAATGGCGAAATGCATCTTATTTGTATAACATCTTTAAACGTTAAAGGTCGAAAGCGTTTATTGTTTGCTTATCCAGATTAACAAACATATCAGATTCCGAGAACACACTCGCGCCTATTACTTATTACCCGTCGGGAATAAATTATCGATCGTAGACAGACAATGTTAATTTAACTAGCTCCGACGAACATTAGGTTCGATCGACTAATTGCAATTTAGATCGATTCATCGATACGATACACGCAAGATATCATTAAATTTCGTAATAACAATGCACCACCTTTAAACAGCATCAAAATTACGCGTTGAATTCGTTACACAGTGTACGCAATGTATTTCAGAAATTATCGGTGCTCGTGTTATTGCAAAGTAACAATCGAAACGTTGCTAGCTGGAACACAACGTTCGATGGAAACGCCGAGTCTTAACAAGCCACATTATACCGAAATATAATTGCATTGAACCGTGTACATTGATTTTTCGTAACATTGTAAACTGGGATATTTATGTGTCTATCGTGTAAAATTTAATAACAGTATTGCTTCTCTTGTACGTCATGGACGCTCGTCCGTAACAATACACCAATCATAATCGTATCAAAGGACGGAAACGATCGTTGCTGCTATTATATTTCGCCTGCGACGTGACTTGGAGTAGTTTCGTCTACGATTGTTGTTTAACAATAAAGCCATAAAAAACAATACTTTAGAAAATATTTTACGTTTGTTCAATATGTAAAGAAAATAATTTGGAAAATGCCAAGTTGACTTAGAAGTTAATCGCGAAAGGTCGATGACTTATTATACATAATTACGGGAAAACAATCAGCGTATAAAAGTTTTCTAGCATAGAGACAGCTCGAGGTAAAATGGTGGATAACCCAAGAGGCCAATTCAGTGGGTGGAGAATTAATAGTAATGGCCTCCCTGGTTTCCATGTTCGTCGCCGTAGTTCGTCGAGTAGGAGCTGTGGGTTTGGTAAGAACCATCGTCTCCGTCTCCAGCAGTATAGCTTTCACTGTGACCGTAACTCGAGGATTCTGGTCCATGATCCGTATAGGAAGCACCGTCGTTGCTGGAATAGCTACCGTGATCACTGGCTTCGACGTGTTCATTGCCATGATCGTCGAGATCCACCTCATCAGCCGCGTAATGAGTATCGACGATGGTACCTGGACAAGTTTATAATGCAGTTCGTAAACGAGCACGAAACAACGTTTCGAGGTGATCGCATTAATTTCGAGGCGTAGAACTTTTTCGAACCGTTGGGAAGTTTATTAGATGTAGTCAGATTGTTCCCTCGACAGTTCAATTGAAAGTCTCTTCAAATCAAGGACAAAGAAAATTCACGGAAAATATAAACGAAGGATCTGTTCAAGTTCAAGTTCAAGTAACGATTCGTGGAATAGGATATCGCAAACAATCGCCTCTGTCCTCGTTTAACCAAGCCACCAAGATTGAAAATTATCCGCGAATATTCTGATAAAAGTGTTTGATCGAAAGTCGAACAAGATCGTCTCTCGTTGAAAGTAAAATTGCAACCGGTCGTGATGATCGTCTGCGCTACCTCGCAAGCACCATCAAGCAAGCCTTGTTCAATTAAAAATTCATGTCCCCGACTTTGCAAATTAGGAAGGAACGTCGTTCCCCAGGTTCCCTTGTTCTCCGTGGTTGCTGTGCAATTACGTGCTTTACATTGTACAATTTCGCTCTACCTGCGCCCTCGTGATCACCGCTTTTCCTGGAACGAGAGTCGGCATCGTCGTGGTGGCTACTTTTCTTGTCACCTCGTGCTCCGCCGTAGGCAGTGTGCTTCTCGAATGCGTACTTGTCGCCATCCTGCTTGTGGAAGGTGTCGAGGGTCTTATAACCATGATTGCCCTTGCTGTAGCTTGCCTTCATGTAACCCTTCTCGCCCTCGGCGTCGCTCCCGTACGTCTTGTAGTAACCTCCCTCGTCTGATTTCCCTAAAACCACCATGTTATTCCTCGTTATCGCTTACGGTAGCCCCCAAACCTCGCGAAAACTCGAGACAGATCTTAACGCTTCCTCCCCGCGAATCCTTTTCGCCGAATGCGTTGCCGTTTCTGCTTTTCGTACCTTTTTATGGAAGAATTCGGGCTCAATTGAGAAAATAACAATTTTTAAACGAAAGCTGAAAAGGGATTCCCTGAATTAATTTCCAGGGAGTCTATTCAATTTAATCACGACTGTTCATGATTAAATTCACTCGGCGTTGACGATCTGGTACATTTTTGTATTTGTTGCAACGTTATCGAGATTGCTTGGAAACGAAACGTATTATTAGTAGAATTCATTCTATCGCGGTAACGTGCATCAAACTTTATGCGATAATTGAAAAGCTACCGGCGTTGTTTATTTTATTCTTCTCGGACGCAAATAAACCGCGAGCTCAATCGGTTAATGAAAATTTATTAATTAATTAAATAGAATCGTTTATAAACTTTAAAACACGGGAGAATTTTAATCATAAATTTCGCGCTCCGTGCGATCAACAGCGTAATAATTTATGTTAATTTCGTCGTAAGTAGAAATTAAATTAATCAAAATTCATGTTCATTTTGCATGTACCTTTAGTTACTCGACAGTGAATGGTTCGATTTAATAATTACTTAATTAGTTTGATGGTAAAGAACGTACCGGATGTATTTTTCATACGCGTTTTAAGTGCCTGATCCTTTCCCGGAGCGTTCTCTGCGCTTAATAGATCCTCGAGCTCCGTAGCGATCGCTAATGGCGGCAATTCGCGAACGACCCGACGACGTACAGACAGCAGTTTGTCGTGGCCTAGAGGCGCGGCGAAGCCACCACGGCAGATGAAAATGGTAAGAAGGACCGATCCTCGCCACATATCGTCGATGTTTCTGATTCACCGATATTGGTGTCGATCGTTCGTTGCTAAACTTGAGCAGAGACTGCTTTATCCGCCTCCTCCCACTCAAACTCTGACTGGGAATTTTCTTCGCGGCAGAAGGGATGTCGAGGCAGATGACGGAGACTGAACGAATTTCGCAACAACCTCGGGCTATCGAGCTTTTGAACGACTTCAGCATGGTCGTTTCGCGGACTGACATAGTTGGAACTGGAAATACTCGACTCGGAATTTACTTGGGATAATAAAACTGGTTCCAAGTTCGAACAGTTGTTAGATCGTACGGCGAAACGAAAGTTCCAGTACGTAATTTATTTAATTGCGCGCATAGATTCGGTCGATCAAAATGTTACGAAGCAGTTATAAAAGAGGGAATAATTTGAAAAGTCGGTGCAGCTTTTAAAATGCTTTTAACTAATTGAAAGAATGTTTGTATTTTTAACTTGAAACGATCGTCTGACGCGATAGAAAAAAATCTACTGTTTGCAAGCATTGTTCAAACAGTTCTATACCACGCCCTATATGTATAATACGAAAGCGATTTAGATCGAATTTTCGCGTAATCGGGTTAACTGTATTTACCGAATCCGTCGAATGAAATTCAAACGATGAAATTTTTTCGCTTTCCTCGATGGTATTTACTTTTGTAGGAAATTGTAATCCCAGGTGTCGGATGCTTTTAATCGCCGAGAGACGACGTACTGTTTGGTAAATATGTATGTGATTGCGCGTACAACCGAATAAATAATATTTGTTTAATGTTTCAACGTTGCTAGAAATGTTCCTTACTTGAACGACGATGGAGTGCTTTCTAAAAGTTTGTGTCGCTCCTGGTATCAATGACAGAACTTTCTATTGTCACGAAATTGTTTTCTGCTCGAGTAACTCGTCGTACGGTCTCGTTCGCTGTTTCGACGAAAGGATTTAGAATAAGATCCAGCGGTCGTCGAGGGAAGGAGACAAGGAACACCTCGCTAAAACGCGGACGAATTGTGTCCGCGAGACGCGTGCCGCACGAACGATTTCGCACTTTCCACTCCTGTGAATAAAAATCTGCGTCGAGATCGATCGGTAGAAAATCGAGTGACATAACGGCTTCGAGATCATTGCACCCGCGAAAGTGTTTCCGTTTTTAGTTACCAGCGATTGACACAAGATCGACGTTTCTTACGAGGGATCGTTTTTCGGCGGTGCATTATCTCACGTCTGTTACGGAGACGTTTCAGTCAGCTGAACGTTAGAAGCGGCGCGAATTACCATTCTTGGGCCGTTTTTCTCAAGCAAGCTACGGTACCGTTGGAAATTGTGCAAGCGAAACGAGTCACGCGGACTTTTATCCGATACAATTGTTAGGCTCGAAACATCGTAAAGCGTTTTCGATGTCGAAGTAAATTACGTAACTGTATAAAATAAAAATTTGCAATTGCATTCTCCGAGTACGCTGTTGCATCTTGTAGAAATACAGTATCATAAAGGAGGTACCACTCGTTAAACCATTTAATATTTCTCTCTACCAATTTCTTATCTCGCTTGCAAGCCTTTACTTACTGGTTGGAAAAGAGCACCAAGTTCGACCCAGTTCCTTGGGTCACCTCGTGAAAGACGTTTAAACCACGGTCGAATCGAATTTGCTATCGCTTTAAACTCCTGTCTCTCGGTCACGATGAAAAATGACAAGGATATCGCGTGTTATGCAGGCTGGGTCGCTAAAATTGTTACAGGCTAATATCCTTTAAACCGAACGAGATGCGAAATTCTTATTTTCGAGTAACTAAAATACTTTCGCGATTCTTTCAACGGACAACAATTATTTTTTAGATTACACGGTTTGGTCGAACAGCAAACCTGATCCAATACACCGCGCTTCGCCTCGAGAATTTCATATCTCGAAAATATTAACCTTTAACGTTTCAGTGATTCGCAGACGTGTAATGCATACGTTGCGCGAAAAGATTTCGAGAATATTTCGACGCGAAGTTATTAAGAATTTCTGCTTCGAACAGTATGCGTGACAGGGGATCGTTCTAGTCGCGAATAAAATGTCGTTCATGGGACGAGGGAATTTCAACTATCCGCTGAGTCACGAGCATAATTCTCCTGCTCTATTTAAAGGAAATAAGAAAAGAAGAAGAAGAAGAAGAAGGAGAAGAGGAACGGAAGCGTCAGAAGCGTCGACATAATCGAGCTGAAAACCGCGGCGGTCGCCGCAAGCCGACGCTAAGCGCTCTAGATGCTTGCTACGCCAGCTTCCATCGAGATAATCCGGTAATTTGAAAATCTTGGATGGAATGTAACTCCATGAAACGGCCCGACGCGACGTCTTGTCCGCGGTAAGATCCTCGTTCTTTCGACCTTTGTTTCTACCATCGTGGAATGCGATTCAAACTAATGAAAGGAGTCGCGTCAGAATCACCGTACGGACGAATATTAATCTTTCATTCGAATCCAATAAACGCTGGGGCTTTGGTTTCTGCGGAGATTTTAGTCAAATTTCTCATCCTATGAAATTTAAAAAATTTTGAACGTTTCAAATATTAGCAATGCTTTTAGAGAATGTGAAATACGGACAAATATGAGAAATTTTTATATGATAATTATTGAATTTAATTATGGTGTCTGTAAACAGTAAAATTGATAACTCATTTTTCCGAGCAATAGCGCGTTCTTTGAACGAGAGATGAAAAAGAATTGCAAGGGTTGGTAGAGAAATGCAATTAGTTTCAGGACGATAGCAGAGGATCATAAATCATCGTCCTTGAAATTCTATTTGTATGCATTTATTGCTTAATAAATTAAGGTTATGAAGTGCGCAATATTTTGTGAAACAACGTAATAGATACCGCGTATAATCAATTATTCTTAATATCAAAAGGGAATATTCTGCATAATATACTCTGGATATATTGCATAGGACCAGAGAAGAAATGATCAAATTGGCAGAGAAATCTCATCAACGTTTATTCTTATTTATTACGACCGTTTAAGCTACGGTTCCCTTTAAGCGGCAGGATGATATATTACGCAACTCTTCGAAAGGCAGCTATAAACGCTCGGAACCCGAAAGAAAATGTAAAGCACAATGTTTTCTAGAGGAAGGTTCACTTTAATGAGTTTTCATCAATCTTACGAAAGACAGGGAAACATCTCGAAAGATAAATATAAATAAAACGCGATTTCTTCATCAACGATATTATCGATATATCGGGAAGCATTGCAAAACAAGCTGCTGGCTCTTATCAAACTTTATCTTGAGGGCCGTGTTTTATTTCTCCTTATCTTGCCTCCTGGAAACCCGTTAAAGGATATCCATTAATCAGACTGTTCTTGCTCGTGCCAAGACCACGATTTTCCATAGTTTGTCAGCAGGAATCCTCAGAAACTGACGACGCTAGATTTCTCACCTTTATTAAACGTAATAATAACTTCTCCATTACGCTGTAAAGAATCAAATTATTATACGGGTTTCGTATTATTTGATTTGAAGTTCATACAGCGTTCCGAAAAAGTAGCTCTCGTGTCGTAAGCTACTAAATTCGTGTCCAGATAAGAGCCTATCCTCGGTTCTAATTAGATTACCGTACAGAGACGAAAGCTCAATGTGCAATTATCTTCTCAAATATCTGGATTAGTATCATAACTTGTTGCGAGCGAAACGTAAGATATACGCCGAACAAGTTTAAACCAGTACCACGAATGCCTAAATTACCGTGCTTCGTCAAGCAACAAGTTATGATTTAGAATGTCAAATTCCTTGGTGAAATCGATCGATACGATGCACGCAATATAGTGTAAGATAGACAGTGGCAGTTTTTGTCCATTTATTCGGAAACTTTTCGGTAAAGGTTTATATTCTATTTGTGTAATCGCGCTTCGAGAATGATCGTAGAAAAACGAAAGCAGATGGAACGAAGCGGTAAAAATTGCTCTGTACGGGCAGAAATAAGGGAGTGAAGTCCGCGGGAACGCATTCCCCGGTAAAACAGAGCGTAGCAATTTTTACGAGGAACGGCGCTCTTTATTAAAGCCGCTAAGTCCGTGTCGGTGTAATGAAATTAAAAGTAAACATTGCTTGCGATTTATCCCCCGCAAACGGTCCTCCCGTTTCAGTGTTCGCGTTTCCCCGGCACCGGAACTCGGCAGAGCCAACCGAACAGAAAAATTGCGCTGATCGAGCTCAGCGTACACGTACGTATGTATACACACGTCGAGGCTCGGATGTCGACGCACCAGCCGGGAAAACGACAGCCATTCTTCCGAAATAACGCGAGCCAACCCCCGTGGATATACATGTATTTCTCGCAGTCGGATTCGCAACCCTGACACGACGCGACGTCGAGAATCGTATCGAGCATCTGTATGTATGTATGTATAACGACACGTGTACGTCGATACTCGAGGCGCCGAATACATTAGGACGTCTGCCCTGCCAACAATCCCACTGCTATCGATTACATACGTCAAATCTCTGTACATACTTGGAATATTTCGCACCCCGTGCGATTTACCGGTCGCCTATCGCCGATATTCTCCAAGAAACTTCCCGTTCTCGATGCTGCAGACCCCCATTTTTACTTTTAGTTCAACGATTTTCTGATACTCAACACGTCTCTTATTTATTCTTGTTCGTTTACCTATACCAGACCACTGATACGCGAATATAAACATTAATGAAACGAGACGTACGGTAGACATGTATTGGGCGAATATACGTAAGAGGCCAGGCACAGGTAAAGTGATACCATTCTAATTCAACCACGATTCTAAGTAGAAGGAGGTTGACTTATGTGGACCGCGTTAATAAATACAGTAAGCTTTCGATTTAAGCGATTAATTCTATTTGAAGGTTTCCGCGTAAGACGAACCGTGTATGTAAGATGCATTACAAGGTGACAGCAAAATCAATCGAGAGTTGAAAATAATTTATCGCCATCCACGATCTGAACATTGTCGAGTGCTTGCAAGGAAAGTTCCACGATCGA